TGTAAAAGCGGCAGCTGGGATATCAGAGGAGGTTAATATTACCGTCGGCGTACACCAGGGCTCTGCTCTCTCACCACTGCTGTTCATTCTGGTGATGGACACAATTACACACGACCTGTACACGCCCGCCCCATGGACGCTGCTCTACGCCGATGATGTGTTCCTGGCCAACCTGTGCAAGGCTGAACTCGAGCACCGAGTCCAACAGTGGCACGACCGCCTCGAGCAGTTCGGGCTCCGGCTGAACCTAAAGAAGTCCGAATACCTGACCACTGACAATGAAATGACAGGCTCCATCCACGTGAACGGGCAGGAGCTACCGCGCGCCTCCACCTTCAAGTACCTGGGAACTACTCTTGGGGAAGAAGGCCTACTACAAACTGAGGTGGCAGCCAGGATCAATGCAGCGTGGGGCAAATGGAAGTCCGTCACGGGCGTCCTCTGTGACAAGAAGATGCCGATGCGCCTGAAGGCGAAAATCTATAACTCTGTGGTGCGCCCCGTGGCCATATACGGCGCAGAGTGCTGGCCGACGACCAAAGAAGTCGAAAGCAGACTCCAGATAATGGAGATGCGAATGCTCCGATGGTCGGTAGGCCTCACCCTACTCGATCGCGTCAGGAACGAAGAAGTGCGTAGACGGTTCAACGTCGTGCCCATCCCCACGGTCATGAGGCAGTCCCGGCTACGATGGTTCGGCCACGTGAGCCGCGCCAAGGAAGAATCCATCATCAAATCTGTAATGAAGGTGACTGTCGGAGGAGCGAGACCGCGTGGTAGACCTAAACAACGCTGGATGGACACGATCAAGGCCGATCTAGAGATCGCGAAGGCAGACCCGACATACGTGGTAGACAGAGAGGTGTGGAAGCAGTACTTAAGGACATTAGCGGACCTCGCCCGAGCGCGAGACAAACGCTGAAGAAAAAGAAGAAGAAGAAGACAGGATGGGTTCATCTAAGGGTTTTTGGTAATTGCAGTTGGACTGCCATGGGATTCACAATTCGTTCAATCGGAAAAGGTGCAACCTATTTAGCCCCCAGCTTTTTTTACTTTTGTGTAGTTTGCAAATATCTAGTGGAAAAGAAAACCTTGTCGCCAACTTGATATTGTTTCTATGGAGCTCTCTTTTTATCTGCAAATTTCTTATGAGCTTGATGAGCATCATCTACTTTAGACAGTGCATCCGCCATGAAGTTCTTCCCTCTTGGGATGTATTTCAATGAAAAATTAAACTGCTTGAAGTACTGCGCCCAGCGAACTTGCTCAGGTGCTTTTCTTATGAATTCTTATGATCCATCCACACCTCAAAGGGGTGTTTTGCCCCCTCTAGAAAATGCCTTCAGGTTAATAGAGCCCAATGAACTGCAAAAGCTTCATTTTCCCAAATGACCCATCTTCTGTCTCAGTTAGTTTACAGGAGGTGTATGCACATGGTTGCAGAGTCCTCGCCTCGTTTGCTTGTAGTAACACCGCCCCCATTGCTACATCACTCACATCAGCTTGGATTACAAAAGGGGCATCTATGTCCAGGTGCTTGAGCACCGGCTCAGTGGCAAACAGTCGTTTCAGCTTCTCAAAAGCAGCTTGACACTCCATGGACCACTCCAACAATCGACTAGGCTTCAGTTTCACATCCCCCTTGGTTTTCAGGAAGTTAGTAATAGGCAATGCAATCTTCACAAAAGCCGGGATAAACTGACAGTAAAAATTAGCAAACCTCAGGAAACTTTTCAATTGCTTCCTGGTGCGGGGACGGGCCCATTCCAAAACGGCGCAAACTTTTCCTGGATCCATTTCTATACTGTCATGTGATATACGATAGCCCAAATAGTCAAATTTCTCTTGGTGAAACTCACACTTGGATAACTTCACGTACAGTTCAGCAACTCGAAGTTTTTTCAAAACCGATCGCACCACTTTCACATGTTCATCAAGAGTCTCAGTGTAGATAAGAATATCATCAAGATAAACCAGTACCCCTTTGTATAAATGTTCATGCAAAACCTCATTTATCATTTGCATGAATACCGCAGGGGGCCCCTGTAGACCAAACGGGAGAACGTTGAACTGGAAGCATCCCATTGGTCAATTAAAAGCACTTTTCCGTTCATCTCCCTCCTTAATTTGAATTTGGTAATAAGCTTCTCAAATCGAGTTTCGTAAAAAATTTTCCCTTTGGCCAGGTGGGCCAACATGTTCTTCATTAAAGGGAGGGGTTACACGTTCTCCACCACCCCCTCCTCCCCTCGCTACTTATGACAGCCGAAAGATGCAAAGCAAAGGAAAGAAATCTTGAAGGTTGACAGTGTATTTTATTTATGGATAGCATGAACCTGATATCTGATTGAATTCCCAACATTTAGCTGATAAATTTTCATACATGTTTGATAGTCTCATTGGTGGTAGATGCCACCTATAAGACATTTTATATAAGTTCTCCTTATAAGCCATTGACATAGTTAGCTTACAATTTCTGTCTCACAATTTCTTGCATTTATCTATTGGGTAGCCAAAACTTTTCACCCACCTTATCATTGTTTCTTTCACTTGTTCTTCTTCCAGTTTAATACTCAATAAATAATTGTACATTTTTAAATTAATTTTTCATCTGTCCCTAGTGTCAGTAGTGCCAGCAATCGCCCTAAATTAAATCATGATTCTCGAGCCAAACTTCAAAAAACTTCAAAAGATTTATTAGAGGTGATATACTGACATTGCCCTGTATGAAGCCAACTCTGGCATATGTAATTTACATCACCTGTGACCTGTTTCCCCCCTCCCCCCTGGGTGTCTCATAAACCAGAATCTCCAATTAAGCACATGGGTGTCATCAATCACGTTCTCCAATTAAATATATTTGCAGGCAAAAGCTCTGGTAGTGTAGTTACAATCTTTTAAAGATAAGTGTTGGAATGTACTTTTGATTTCAAACTACTGCACTGCTCTTCCAGATTTCCTTCCTCCAAACCCCCTCCCTTTTTTATGGCAACTACTAAAACAGGCATAGGAATGTTTTATGAGTTGACACCTAGTACCGTAGTATTTGATCTAGTTCTGTTGGTTCTTTATAAAAGCCATACATTCTTGCGTCTTTCTCATATCTTGATTGTATTTGCACATGTGGCCACCATGCTAAATCGATCCCTTGATTGGTCAGTTCTTGTTTATATTTGAGTTCCCCTTTGTCGTTCAAAATGTCCTTATATCTTACAATTTTTTCTGCATCAGTCACATTATCAGTGTCTCCATTGTGGAGAGCCAGTCTGGTATTTTCATATAATATCTTTCTTTAACTTTTCCCCATACTAACAATAATATATTTCTAATAAAATGTCTTTGAAAGTATCCATGTATTTTATTTTTGCCATGCCATAAAAAAACATGCCACCCCAATTGGAGATCATGCCCCTCCAAATTAAATAATCTTTTCAAATCATCTTTGAAGCACACTTGGTTGTAATATTTTAACTTTGTCATAGCACATTGGATTCACTCCATAAGAGCACAGTGCACTATAGCAATATAGTGAGTAACAGGAACTGAAAACAGAGATGCAGATTTTTTATGAGATTTGCAACCTAGAGGGCTAAGTAGGAAGATGATATCTTTCACAGGCAAAAAAATTCCAGGGAAAAGTATTATTTTGTTCTTGGCAAAACAAAACAAAGGCGTTGTTTGGAGTAAAGACTTCCAGACCATACCCCTCTATTGGGCCAATGCAGAATACAATTGCTACTACTTTTGCTCTTAATAATGAAGAAAAATGATAGAGTATTAGATATTCATACAGTATTAGATAGAACAGCATGAAGATATATGCTGCTGTTGTAGTTCTCCGGCAGCAGGTACAGACGACTGAATTCTCGGAGATCGAGGACTCAGATGAGGGACCTGCATGTGAGGTAGAGATGGGGCCAGGACCATCAGGGAGTGGAATGCTGCCTTCGGAGATTGTGGAGGCTGGCAGCAGTGATGAAGAGGTCCCCGAGGAGCCTGTGCCCAGTGCGCATGCATGCAGGGCTGCTCAAAAGGAAAGAGCAGCTGCAGCAGCACAGGCAACTTGGGAGTAAGGTTGCAAGGTAATGGCCGCTCCCTTAAAACATAAAAGCCAGCTGAGAAACCGGAGTTCTTTGTAGGAAGCAAAGAAGTTTTTTCATTCAAGCTTTGTGGATGTTCGGAATATCTTGGTTGGTGTTGGGAGACTCTTTGTGTTTGAAATATTTCTTAGTAACTTTATCTAGTGTTCTTGGCAGCCTTGCACAACCTTGGCAAGGCTCGTTCTTATCAGAATCAATTAGTTTGAAACAGCCTTTTAACCATGAAGGAACAGAATTCATAAAGAATCATTAAAAGGTTTTGCTGTTACCTCTGTTTCATGTTTGTTTCCTGGAACAAGGTTTGGGTCAGAACATGCTGCTATCCTAGAGATTTATAGTATATAGTATACATTATAATATATCCTATTTATAGTTGGACTGACAAGACATTGGTAGAGGACAAAATCAGGGATTTGTATCACTAGTGAAAACTTACCTAGGCAGATAGAGATCAAGATGATAAGAAGCTAGAGATAGTTGGACAAGGATTTATTCTGGAAAAAGAGAACTTGCAAAAATAATGAAACTCGAAGGGAGGTTCATCCCTTCCAATGGGGAAGTTTTCACAAAGTTGAAACATGTATTTTTAATTCCTTTCAATTCCCAATTTTTTGGCACAAGGGCAGAGTATCAAGTTACCTTACACTTTATTTAACTTCATTTAGATCAGGGGTGTCCAACCTTGGCAACTTTAAGACTTGCGGACTTCAACAAAGCAAAGCTGGCTGAGGAATTCTGGGAGTTGAAGTCCGCAAGTCTTAAAGTTGCCAAGGTTGGACACCCCTGATTTAGATGGTCTTTGCTCTGTAGCTTAGTTAGCTAATGCTTTGCCAGTAATAAAGATGTTTTTTGCATCCATCTTCTATCGCTTATAATGTTATATTCTTTGAACTGTGCTAGGTTCAATGAACTATATTCCCGTGGTCAGTATGAGACTGCAGCAACATATGCAGCAAACTGTCCTAGAGGAATCCTACGCAATGAAGAAACCATGGAGAAATTTAGGGGTATGGAGCCTGATATGCAACCTTCCTCTTTTGTATATAGTCTTGAATATCAGTAAACCATAGTCAAAAGTATAAATATTTTTTGACAATTCTCTGTCTTTGTGATTTAAAGGAACTGGAGGCTTATATTTAATTAGTTTCTATTGATGTAATTACTGCCATACTGAATGTAGAATTAATTGCAATTGATAGCTAAAAAGTACTTTTGATCCTTCCACACATAATTCCTAGTTTCACACCTTTCTATAGTTCTTTATAAAACTTTTCAAATTATATAAAATAAAGAAATATATGCTCATTTTCTTAATTTATAGAATTCTGAGTTCAAATCCTCCTTTGATAGAAGGTCTGAACTGGAGAAAAATTGCTGGCATAGAAAACAAACTGCAATCAAATGTTTTTAAAAATATTGCTTTTCCCCTTCAGCTGTTGGTCATATTAAAGGGAAGATCCTCCCTCTGCTTTTGTATTCTGATGCACTCATAACCACAACCATTGCTATTAAGAAGCCTCTTCCTGCAAATTTGACAACTGGAGCCATCAAATGCGCCTTAGCTGAGAAACGGTTAGACTTGGTGATGCATTGGATCACTTTGCACAAGTAAGTGGTCATTCAGACTTCTGACTCAGTAGCAGAAGATATACATTACGTACAAGAAGTCCACAGGTCATTCTGTGGGAATTCCAGATAAGTATGACAAATGTTCAAGAATATCATGCTCTTGGGCACTGGCATATTTTCAGGATAGCAGGTGCTGAAGAATACTATTATTTCTGAGAAATCAATCATTAGCAGTATATTCCAGACAACAATTCTTAAAGGATAACAGGCATTATTTTCAAACTGAATTAGCCCATCTCCATCAAACTCAATTCATGTGAGCTGAAGGCAGGGTAGAATAAGAAATCTTTCAGAAGGAGAGCAGGATATTTATAGTTAGGAGAAATCAGCAAGAATAGAATATCTATTATATGCAAGTTTCATTGGAGCAAAACCAGCTACTCCAGTGACAGTTTCTTTCAAAAAGGCTATAGGAGAAAGCATCCAATTTAATAAGAGAATTAGATTTATTGTTTACAGCTCATCTTCCATTATTAAGATAGCATCTGAAGTGGAATTTCAACATAGTCCATCTCCAGAATTTTCTGGGCATAAGGAGACTATTCTACCCTTGGATATTCTAAGTCTTAAACAATGGAAATGTACAAATGGCTCAACATGCAGTACAAAAAGGAGGAAGCAGATTTCTCAGCAATTCTCAGCCAGGTCTTGTGTTGCTCTATGAACAAAAGCACCATGGTACTGAAAAGAGTCCATGAAAGAGATCTTTAAAAGATACTTACAATTTCACATGCAGCTGTGAGCACCTTGGTGAACATGGCAGGGTAGCCAGTTTTTCCATTTCTGGTAGAAGCAGCAATGGTTTATTAAAACAAGGGCAATAATAGAGAGGGCAATTAATACCAGAGAGAAATCAGTCAGATCACCCTATCATCCATAGGCTGCCTTTCATCCCTATATCCTAGTTGCCTTTGGGGTTGCTATTGGGGATTGGGGGCTCTGAAGCCTGGGATGAACTCCTCTTCCAGGCTAGGTTATGAAGACAGCCAACCTGTAGCTCAGTCTCAAATTCCAGATGCAGTTGAAATCCCTGAAAAGCGCAGGGAATCCAGGGTCAGTTTTAAGAGGCAAAAAAATCACCAGCTGAATGGGAAAGAGGTGTCACCTTTGAAGCAAATATTTTGGGGTTCATGATTTCCTCTGCAACATCTAACAAGCCGATAAATGCACTCCAATGAGGCTTATGAAATTAGGGATAGATATAAATAAAGCATACCACGTCTCTCATTTTTATTCCTGGTGGATATTTTCTGGTGCATATTCAGATCTTTTTTTTTCCTGTCTCTTTATTTTATTTTATTTATTTTGATTTGTCAATCGCTTACAAGATAATAGGTATAAGTATAAACATAGTTATGAATACATGAAATGGGTACATATAAGAAAAATAAAAGAAACAATAGGACAGGGACGGTAGGCATGTTGGTCACTTATACACGCCCCCTACAGACCTCTTAGGAAAGGTCAATAGTAGACAGTCTAAGATTAAAGTGTTTTTTTCTTGTTCTTGATATGGAGTAAGATATGGTCTTAAAAGAAGAAGAGACTTTTAAAGTGTAGAAAGCTGGGCTTTGGTAAAGTATACCCTACTTTCCAAAAAGAGAAATGTACGAGGACAAAAATTGTGTCGTGAATTCTTCAAATGTGCTTGTTTTCTGTTTCCCATATCGTTTTTTCTTTTTTTTATCATAACTCTTTGATTCTATGTTATTCTTTTAAAAGAATAAGATATTTTCATTATCATCATTATTGACTTTTCTTTACAATGCCCAGAATTTGTAAATTACCTAATGATGTTTTGTTCACTTGGTTTCTCCCAGGTTGGAATTCTCTGAGGCTGCCGGTGACGCAATCTTTAAGTATGCAGATGTGGATAAGCACAACAAGTCCCAGTGTCTAGCTTTGGCTCAAATTGTATACAGTGAGTGTGGGGCACACAAAAAGGCTGTTCTATGCTTGTGCAAACAGGGCCAGATTTATGGAGCCATGGATTATCTACATCATTTCCAACTTCTTTCCACAGGTATATTTCAGAGCTATATTGCATTTATTTCTCTGCTTTAAATTACATCTGATAGTGTTATAATGAAGTTTGGGTGGTTTTCAGTACTATCAGGACATATGCATGCATTTGCCTGCATGCATTATATATGAGAAAAGGATGGAATGAATAAATCTAATTCAATGCAAAAGTTTTGCAAATGTGAGTATGTGTATATGTTTCTATTCTCCCGGTGTTGCATATGTGCATGTGTATGTACACTAGGAAGCATAAGGCAGGCAGCATATGCTGCACTCTGTTCATTCTTCCAGGAAGGAGAAAGAAGAATGCAGTATTTTGAAGTGTTTCCCAATTGCGTTTCTTATAGGGATACTGTGGGGAATTGTTTTCTTTGCTACCTGATTTTATCTTTCTTTCTCTGGTCCGTCCCCCCCACACCGCACGCGCACCAATTTGGCCCCTTTCAATTAAGGACATTTTCTCCTCAAACAATCCACTGAACATGTGAATAAGTTGAGCAGGTATGAAATGGTTTTTAAATACTATGGTTTTTAACATATGACCATTTTCTCTCCAGCGAATTTTAGTATACTTGTAACATCACCAGCTATCCCTAAAATGATATAAAGTCTGTCTTCCATGTATTTATTCTGACAGAATTCATTTTCGAAGAATTAAACATTTTATTGCAGGTCCACCTTATCATGACTGATATTGTTAATGAACCGGTCTTCCAGGAGTTACCTAATTGAATCAAGAAGTTGTGTGCTGAACAAAGCACTGTATTTCTTGGTAATTCCCAAACCAAGGTTGAAATCAGGGATGTCTGTGCCATGGTCAACACCAACCAGAGCTATCAAAGTTCTACCTGTTTTTACATGCATGTGGTACACAATACAAAGTGTGACATTTATCATCAAATCATGCCTTCCATTTTGATATTGTTCACATACCAACACACATTACAGAGGCCCACAGTTGAGAGGTAGAAAATGCTGTTTATTTCATTGTTCTTTTAATCTTTGCTTTAAATGATTAATAAATGAAAAAGAGCTCTTAGGTTATATATCTAAAAATGCAATAATTCCATACAGTATTGAGTTTTCAAAGGTCACCTCTACTCATTTCATGCTGGAAAGTAAAAATGACAGATACACTTTTCAAGCTGCAAATATAAATATATCTGGATTTTTTTTTTCTTTTCAGGCTTTCTAACCACTGTGCTGTTTGATTTCAGAAGATTATATCTATTTACTGAAGCACTGTCCTCGTATAGATTTCATCCGTTGCCTTACTCAAGAATGGAATGGGAATCCACCAATCATGTCCCTTGGGGAAACCATCCTTTCTCTCATTGGAACAGAACATGAAATACATGGCATACGCTTGTTGGAGGATATTACCAAAAAGGGCAAGGGTAAATATAGCTTGACTACCCTAGAAATAGATCATGCTAAGAAATTACCTTTATTGTACCAGTTATAGTAACAGAATCTTGCAAGTCTGAATGTGCTTCCCCATCCCTCCCTTTATCTTTGTGTGAACTAGGAAGGGGCTTGTCTGAGATGTTTTCTCAAGATATTTTCTTGGCCTGAACTCAGTTCCCTCTTATCCACTGTTGTCATGGTAACTCTTTTCCTCCTGGCCCCTCAAGGCCATACCCTATGACAGGGGTGTCAAACTCAAGGCCCACGGGCCAGATCTGGCCTGTGGGTGCTTAAATCTGGCCCATGGGGCCAGACTGGAAATATCAAAGGAATGGCCCATGGTGCCTCTGCTGGCCAAAGCCAGCCATGGGGGGGCTGCATGCGTCCCTGTGTAGCCCATTTTTGGCCTCCAGCAGCGCTCTGCTGGCCAAAAATGCCCATGTGGCTGGTTTTTGGTCAGCAGAGTGTTGCTAGAGGCCAGGGAGGCTGAAAATGAGCTGCACAGGGGCCGCACAGGGCCTCCACATTGCCCATTTTTAGCTGGCAGAGTGCTGCAGGAAGACTGGATTACAATTATGTAGCCTCAAGTAAGTGCCTGATCTGTATAGAAAACAAGCAACATCCTATGTTAATACTACAGTTTATGGCCAGATTTTATATACTGTAGGTCCATTTAATCCACAATCCACAATCTATAATTGACAGGCATTTCTATTTACTATCATGAAAATTTACCTCTGCTATTAAATCTTCTATTATCATGTTATTTATGCTATTGTATTTTTATTAATTGAATAATAAAAATACAATAGTATAAATATCTTTTCTGCCTGCAAAAGCAATTTACTATTAAACAATAGAATATAAATTTAGAAATAAAAAGTTTAGTGTAGTTTGAAGAATAAATAATGTTTGTCCGTAATATCTGGTAGAAGAGATAGAAAATTGTTATAGTAAAGAACTGTGGAAAGAAAGAGAAAGAGAAAAATGCATCTTGAGCCTGTGTCAAATGTCCACCATGACCACAAACACACACACACACACGTCCCTCCAAGGTCAAACACAACCCTGACGTGGCCCTGAATGAAATCGAGTTTGACATCCCTGCCTTATGGCTTCTACAGAATGTAAATATGTTTTCTTGCAATTATCTGACTAGGTAAAATGTAGGGGAGAGATTTTGATTAGAAAATGGAGAGAGAAAGGGTTAGATTTTCCTTATGCTTCAATCACAATTCCAAAGTTGGACTTAGCTTTCCTTCAAATTAAAATTTATCTACTTTAAACATTTTCTTGACAGTAACACCTGCTAAATGCTTGCTGTAATTTAATTTAGAATCATACCAAAAAAAGTATACATTTTTAAACAGTTACTGATTCAGAGACAAAAAGCAGCAAAATATTCTTTGTTTGTCTTCTTTCTCAAACAAATTTGTAGATACATTGGAACAAATTATTTTAAAAGATTCCTCCAATGTGGAAGGATGGAAGGAAATAGCTGAAACATGCCTCCTTGTCAAAAAAGAAAATTTATACAAACTTATCATCTCTATCCTTGCTAGCCTGGAGGGAGTGTTTGAAATTCCAGCAGATGATGCAGAGGATGCCAAATTAATGGAACATGTGTTCTTGTAATTTTTCCACAAGGCACGTGGAGGAGCTCTTTGTCCTAGGAGTTGTTTATATTGGCTGCACAAATAACAACACAACTTCTTCGTGTTATTTTTGTTTTAAAAACATAATATATTTAATACCATGAACCTGATTTGATTGTGCTAGTTGTGACTTATGCTTGATCATTTGTCCTTGTTTTACTTTAAAAATGGTGTTGTTTTCTGAAGTAATTTAGCTGTGTTAACACCAGATCACTTCTGATTTTTCTTTCCTTTTTCAATAATTTGTTTTCTCCTATTTTTTCTTCATAGGGACAGGAAGTTGAATCAATTGTTGGAGATACAGTCTTTCCTGTCCCAAAAGTCACACTTATTTAATTTTTAAAATCATGTTGCTTTTACGTTGATACATTCAGTGGCAAAATTAGAAATTATCTTAATATACCTATGGATAGGACAGGGATGGGCTTCAAAAATTTTAGCAAAGGGTTCTCTGCCCAGCTGCTGGGTGGGTGTGGTCATGATGGGCATGGCCTAGTCAGCCTCCTGCAGCACAGTGGGGGGGTGGGGGGGTGTTTTGCCCTCCCTGGGCTCCAGAGGCTTTCCTCAAGCCTCTGGGAGGGCAAAAACAGCCTCCCTTGGCTCCAGAGGTTCTCTGGAAGCCAGAAATAGGCCCATTTACAGCCTTCCTGAACTTTGGGGAAGCCTATTTTTTGCCATCCCTGAGCCTCCACATGCACTCTGCACTTACCTGCATCCAAAACAGGCCACGTGGGGACTCTTGGGAGGGGCAAGTTGGGGAGGGCGAGGCCAACCAGGAGTGGGATTTGGGGGTTCTCCAAACTGCACAGAATCTTAGCTCCCGAACTCCTGTGAACCCCCAGCAGCCCACCCCTGGGATAGGATGCTCACAACTTAGCTACAGAGTTATTCTTTCCATTCTATGAACCAGAATGAAACTGGAATACTTCCTGGTTTCTCCCATGGGATCAATATTTTTTTGTCTAATGGTTTTGTAACTTTTGTAGTCTTTCCTGGAATGGTTGTTGGATTATGAAAGGTCTAGTCCTAATGTACCAGAATGTACCAGTTGGTGTTTAGGCTACAATTGCACACAGATTCAGCATTAATTTATATTTATGCTATAAATAAGTTATTTAGAAATGCATCCTATTATGAAACATTTTGTTATACCCTAACACTGAGCTCAAGGGAAGCCTTCTGGAAGCAACCCCCCCCCCCCCGAAGGCTTCTCTGAGGCTCAGAACACCCCAAAACAGAGCACAGGGGAATGCTGTGTGGCCTTTCATCCTCCGTTTTCTGCCTTCCTGAGCCCAAGGGAAGCCTTCTGGGAGAAAAAATGCCCACCCAGGAGGCTTCTCTGAGACCCAGAAGGCCCAAAAAATGGGGGGTGGGGGTTTGCTGCAAAAAGCAAAAAATAAACTGCCTACCTAGTCACATGGCCATGCCCCCTGCCCACGCCCCCTGCCCCCCCCTCAGAACCAGTAGTAAAAAAAATTGAATCCCATCACTGGGTGAGATCAATAGTGGATAGTTTAAGGGTAAAGGAGTAGGGGTTTGAGGATATAACAACAGAGTCAGGTAGTGCATTCCAGGCATTGACCACTCTGTTGCTGAAGTGGTATTTTCTGCAATCAAGTTTGGAGCGGTTTACATTGAGTTTGTATCTGTTGTGTGCTCTTATTTGTTGCGATTGAAGCTGAAGTAGTCATTGACTGGTAGAATATTGTAGCAGATATTTCATAGAGTTTTTTGATAGAAACTAAGGAAAAAATACATGTTCAACAATGTATCTGCTCTTCACCATAATGTGTATTAAGCAGGTTGATAAGGAACAGCTAAGGATTAGACCCGGTGTCAGCAATCCGTGGCTCTGGAGCTGCATGCAGCTCTTTGGGCCCTCTGCTATGGCTCCCTGTTGGGTGATCCCACCACTGGCTGGCCCCGCCCCTCGCCCTCCCAGTCACTCCTTGCCTGGCCTGAGAAGGTAAAATACAACAACAACAAAAACAGAAATCAGAGGGAGGGAGGGAAGGAGGGAGAGAGAGAGAGAGACCCATTCCCCACAGAAAACACCGGGAACCACAAAACCTGGGTAAGCGTGGCCGGGGGAGAGGGTCATGTGACTGGGTGGGAGTGACATTGAGGTTGCAGACCCCTGAGTTACACATAGATTTTGTGACAAAAGACTGAATATCAGCAACTATGGCAGCATGGCCCAACATTTACTTTTCTTTTTCACTCCCCCATTATTTCTCTTCAAAGATTTTGTCAGCACAAGCCCAAATGTTTGTTGTGAGATATTCTATGCTATATTTGAATGTCTTTTTAGTTCCCAAGATTGCAATACAAGCCAAGGACATTCTCACTCTGGAAAGCTGTAACTCTGCAATCATATATGCAGTAACGATTCTTGGAGGATGGCATTGAAGTTTGTGTGTGTGTGTGTGTGTGTGTGTGTGTGTAGGGAGAGAGAGAATTTCAAGGGAAGTTCTTTATGGCAGTGGAAAAGTAAAAAATAAAAAAGAAGCCACATCAAGCACAGATGGTCCCATAATTTGCTCCAAGATACTGAATTTTGATCACGGGATAGGGCCTCACCCAAATTCCAGATACTGTAAATTGCCAGCTCAGTAGTACTG